CGTGGGCCGGCGGGCGGGGCGGGGCGCGGGTCAGGTGCGGGGGCGCCCGGCCGCTGTCAGCTGCGGGCGGGCGCGCGCGCCCGGTGCGCTCCCCCGGCCGTGCGCGTAGAAAGACCCGGCCGATCCGGGCCCAGAAGAGCGCTTGGTGCTTCTGCAGTCACGCGGCGCCCGTCGGCCGGCAGACACTCGCCAGGTGCGGGCCGCGGCCTCCGCTGAACCCGCCCCTGCCCTCGGCGCAGGGGCCCCGCTCTGGTGCGCAGAGCAAAGGTGCGTCTACGTGGGGCAGGGCCGCGCAGGTGCGGCGACGGGGGCGCCCCGCTGCTTGCTTTGCAGCCGGGCCGGCGTTCGCGGTGTGCTTATTACTTTGTATCTTCTGCGCTTTGCTTCCTTGGCGCCTGACAACAGCGCTCTCTGCCGGTGCTCCATTTTACAGATGTGAAAACTGAGTCACAGAGAGGCTAAGCGACCTGGTCTAAGGGCACGCAGTACAGAGCAGGGCCACTGCTCACACCTCTGCGCACTGCCTCCCCGCAGTCGGGGTGTGTGTGCGGCGCACTGAGGAAACGCAGCACCTTCTCAGCACGCTCCCTGAAAACCGCCGGAGGGCCCAGGACTGGGAATGGGGAGCTGTGTTCTAGCGAGGACACATCCCTGGGGGGTACTGCACTTACTCCGCGGGCAGAATGGCTTCATCTTTGTTCTTAGAAAGGTAGGGTCCTGGGACGCCTGCGGGCGCAGTCGGTTAAGTGTCCGACCGACTTGCGCTCAGGTTATGATCTGGAGGTTTGTGACTTCGAGCCCGGCGTCCGGCCCTGCGCTGACAGCTCGGAGCCTGCAGCCTGCTTCTGATTCTGTGTCTCCCTCTGTCTCTGCCCCTACCCTGCTCACACTCTCTCTCTCTCTCAAAAATAAATAAACGTTAAAAAAAAAAAAAAAAGAAAGAAACTTAGGATCCTACTTTGCCTTTCTAAACCTTTAAGTAACACAGCTATACTATTAATTTTTTTTTAACGTTTATTTACTTTTGAGACAGAGAGAGACAGAGCATGAACAGGGGAGGGTCAGAGAGAGAGAGGGAGACACAGAATCTGAACCAGGCTCCAGGCTCTGAGCTGTCAGCACAGATCGCGACGCGGGGCTCGAACTCACAAGCCATGAGATCATGACCTGAGCCTAAGTCGGACGCTTAACTGACTGAGCCACCCAGGTGCCCCCACAGCTATACTATTAAATACCCTTTTTGAGATACTTCCTTAGATGCAGATTGCATTTTTCATGCACATTTGGTACAGCAGTTTGTTTGAATCAAAAATTGGATTCTAAAAGTGAAATCGTTTAGTTTAGGCTTTCTTTGCAATTGCAGCCTCAAGGAATTCCAGGACTACCTGAAACACAATTTCTCTTACTACCCACCCCCCCCTCGTATGTTTGTACCTATTTCGCTTTTAACCTTCAAAGGTGAGATTAAATTGTAGCGAAATAAGTTACAGAATCGTTTGCATTCCAGTTTTCAAATCTCCGAAACTAGACCTTGAGAAAATGTCGAATGAAATTGAAACCTGAGTTTCTAGAACCGAGCCTCGTTTCTCGGTTCAAGAGCCTGAAATACTTGCCTCTTTCATAGGACGCCAGGTGGATGTGCTCCCTGGCTTCCAAGCCTCAGCGTTTCAGTGACTTGACCAGCTGAACTTTGTGCCCCACAGTCGCTCCCGTGGGCCTGGATCCCCAGCAGCCCGCTTTGCTTCTGGCCTGGAACCCCACACCCTTCCCCCGTCTAAATTCTCTTTATCCGATCCCATGCTTTAAAGTTCCGTGTCTGTAAAAACTCCCTAACTCCTCCCGACCACAGTAAGCTCTTGTAGTTACATAACTCTTATCACTTTACACATGAGAAAACAAACACGAGGATCCGGGTCCCGTCAGAGCCAGTGTGATCCTTTCTCAAGGACAACAAAAATGTAAAGTTAATCTTAATTAAAATAGTGTATTCTGTAGCACATACGTTTTCTAGGGAAAGAACTGATTTGAGTAATATGTTAACAATTGCCACGTGGAAATCCTATCACCTTGAAGCTGGCACAGTCTAATACTGTTTTGTTTCGTTTTAACAGCTGTTGTCGGCTTGCTGTACCCGTGCATCGACAGTCACCTTGGGGAACCCCACAAGTTCAAGAGAGAGTGGGCCAGCGTAATGCGCTGCGTAGCGGTTTTCGTTGGCATCAACCACGCCAGTGCTGTATCCTTCAGTGGGTGTGCCGGGTCCAGAGCATTCTCGTGGGTCCCGTGTTACAGCGTTTTGTGACTTTCAACGAGCGTATCTTACTGTATAGGTCACTTGAATGGTCTCCTTCCAGCTATTTTGTTTTAAAGCGTGCCGCTTGGTTTATACTTAGCGAGAGTTTTCAGAGTTTTCAAAATGGTGCAGGGAGACTGTCAAAATAGTACCAGAGGCAGAGTGGACTTCTTTGTTCTGCCTTCTGTCAGACAGAATCTTCTGGTTCCTTGCAGTTGGTTTTGTAAATTCCCTCGTAGGTTCCTACCTCGCATCTTCCCTTGTGAAGATCTGGTTTCTGTGGCCCAGTGACCGGTGGCTGGGGGTTCCTCTTCTTGGGGCCACTGCTTCCAGAGGTTGGGGAGAACCCCGTCTCTGCTTCTCTGCCCCCTCCCTGGCCATGACCGTGAAGTTTCAGGGACTGAAGTGGTGTTCTCTGGAGTAGGAGCCTTTTTTTTGTTTTTTTAAGTTTATTTACTTATTTTGAAAGAGTGTGTGTGCATGTGGGAGCTGGGGGTGGGGAGGGCGGGCAGAGAGAGAATCCCAGGCAGGCTCTGTGCTGTCGCACGAGGCTCAGTCTCACACACCATGAGATCAGGACTTAGCTGAAATCAAAGTTGGACGCTTAACCGACCGAGCCCGCCGGGTGCCCCCGGAGTAGGGTTCCTAATGGAAGGTCCCCAAACTTCCAGAGTCCACGGGTGGAGTATGTTGCACAGACTTATGTTACGTGTCTGTTGTTAAGTGCATTTTTCAGGAAGATAGGCCATCGAGTACCAGGTCTCAGAAATTTGGGGTTTCTTTAGGAAGCCTAGGTCCTATCTTGAAATTTCAGAGAAAGGTATTTTAGAGTTACTGATTCTTAAATCTGCTCTACCTGTATTTTCTTGAAACGAGTTTCAGGAAGGGGTGTTACAGGCTAGCTTAGCTCTGACAAATCTGTGTTTTCACCACTTGATCAGCAGTGTTGTGATGAAAGGCAGCTAGCTGTGTCTCCATCAGGCAGAAGTGTGATTCTGCTGCCAACTGATGAGGTGTCTTTGAGGCGCCACAAGAGAAGAGTATTTGCTCCGTTCAAATTGCTAATAAAAACGAAAAACAGAATAGCGCCTCCAGGTGGCTTACCAGCAAAATACGCTGTTGTGTGCTCAGAATGCCGGCAGCCACGGCGTTCAGAAAGTTTCCGGGTAGAATTATGGGTTTAACCCAGTGATCAGAGAAGGTCCGTCCTCTTGTATCCAGCAGATCTGGACACAGCCTGGGCAGGACTGTCGGATGGAGAATCTCATGCTACGTAATGAAAACACAAACGCGTGTGGGATGTGCAGGGGGTTGTTGTTGTTGGCTTGTATTTGACGGCCTTAAACGTCGCTGAAGTTTCCTTAGCCTCGCGCCTCCAGAAACTGGATTTTGCCAATAACGTGCAGCTCTCCTTGACGTTAGCAGCGCTGTCTCTGGGCCTGTGGTGGACGTTCGACCGGTCAAGAAGCGGCCTCGGGCTTGGGATCACCATCGCCTTCCTGGCCACGCTGATCACTCAGCTGCTGGTGTATAACGGCGTCTATCAGTAAGCACGGGCTCCCGACTCCGCCTTTGTCCGAGAGCTGTCACCTGACTCCCATGAAAAACACCCGCCAGGCCGGGCGGTCAGGTTGTATGCGCACACACGTGGCGTCGATTTAGGCAGGAGAGTCTCAAAAATGCCGCTGCTGTTAAAAATGCGCCGTCTAACCTGGGGGGAAACGCAGCAGTCACGGCAAGCGCAGCATTCCGACGTGGCCCTCCCACGGCGCGGCGCGTCGCGGCGCGTCGCGTCGTGTGCCTCCCCGGTGAAGACAGTCCACCCGGAGGCGAGCCCGGCTCGGGGAGGCCGAGTGCCCGGAGACAGGTCTCCTCCTCTGTTCTTTCTGCAGGTACACGTCCCCGGATTTCCTCTACATCCGCTCCTGGCTGCCCTGTATATTTTTCTCAGGAGGCGTCACCGTGGGTAACATAGGACGCCAGCTGGCTATGGTACGTGACGCAATCAGCTCTGCTGGCCTGCTGCAATCGCTTTATGTAATACAGTGTGATTTGTGTTGACGGATGTCTGGTTGGGACTCAAGAACAGCAGTTACTAGAACGGCATACTCTTGAGAAAAGTAGCTAACGGTCCCGAGGCAGTTCCTCGGTATGTGAAGCTTCGGGGGTTTGTAAACGCGTGATGAGCCAGGAAGTAACCAGGGTTCCCGGGCAGCCCGTCCTGTTACAGGGCTGTTCGGTGACGGTTCTGAGCTCTCCATGGAAAGCGCCAGAGGAAAGTTACTGAGATGGTAACGTGAGTGGTTGGAAATGAGCCCCTCGCTGACGCCGCAGAGACCCCGCGCCCGGGTCGGGGCCTGGCCCAGCAAACACTGCCCTTCCCGGGACAAGTGGCCCCGGGGCGGCGTGGGGGGTGCCCCGCGTCACCAGAGACCTCCCCCCTCCCCCCCCATCACCGGGTAGATGGACTCCCCCGGCACGGAGCCGTGTCCCAAGAGCCGGAAAAGCAAATGAAGTCGGGAATAATTATGGCAGTTCTATTCCGTAGTTAAAAGTTTGCATTTGAACACTTTAATAAGAGGAAATCAACTTTGGACACGTAAGCGTTCCTTGGCGTTGACTTAGACTCTGGGGCTTAAATAGAATGAACTGAAGGAAACCACGGAGACTTCTGAGGGCCATTGCCCTCAGAGATAAACCCTGGGGCTTGCTCAGAAAAGTTATCTCGGTCCCTCACATGCTATTTTTAAAACAAGGCATTTATTAGTGCTGATACTCACCAGTGGGAGCTGAGTCTAAAGGCTACTCGGCTGGTTCACAAAAATAGAACTAATTTCAAAAAGATAGAATGTGTAGCATGTCCCGCTGGTTCCTGACTGCATCGTTCCACCCTCTACCCCTGGAGGTTCTGTGGATCCTGCCCCAGAATGAGAACTCGATGAAAATACCGTTTCTGGCACCCGCAGTGAGGATCAGAGGATTTGACGTGTGTGTGTGTGTGTGTGTGTGTGTGTGTGTGTGTGTGTGTGTAGATGTACGTATAGACTTACATCTAGATTTTTGAGTGATTTCTATACTCAACATGGGGCTCGAACCCCAAGATCAAGAGTCCCGCGCTCCACCTACTGGGCCAGCCAGGTGCCCCTTGACTGGGTCCTGTTAACACTGGCCGCAGCCCCACATCAGACCTGTGCCCTGGCTCCCTCCCTCCCCTCCCAGCCCCCCTGGCTGCTCTCCCCAGGAGACCCGGGCAGGTCCACCAGTGCTTGTGCTGGTTCTTAGTCCGGTAGCTTCCATAGAGAACCCCTAATAGGGCTTCCAGGACAAAACTGTCCTCAGCCAGGGTAACCCTTCACAAAATTAAAATTTAATAACATTCAGTGAATTGTCGTTATTTGAGGCCGACGGGCCGATGGTGTTCCGTGTGCGCGAAGACGTTTTTGAACCAGGTTCAGGACGTGAGCGCGTCTTCGGTAGAGGCGGAGGCTTCACACGTGCGCGAGTTGCAAGCGGCTGGAAACGGTGGGAGGAAACTTCTTTCAAAGGAGTCGCGCAAATCGTTACCTTTGAAAATACTACCGCTTGGAGACTGTCTCAGTAAACGATCCTGGGTGGGCCCCTGCAGTCGTTTTGGTGCAAATTTGGAAATTAAGTACAGGTTGTCCAGATGAGTGTAAGACGTGTTCCTGTCGTACGTCTAACAAGGAAGGGCCACGATCCCTTCCCTCCCGGGTCATCAAATCTCCGCGCCCACCCCGCTCGCTCGCTGTTTTTTCCACCCGTGAGAACGTAAGTCCTTCCCACCGGGTCCCGCCCGCAAGGAGGGTGAGCCGAGACCTTGGGAGCGCGGAGCTCCCTTCCCCGGGACCAGTGGCACCCCGGCCGCCACCCGCTGATACGGCTCCAGGGCCGGGGCTCAGCCTGGTCCTCGTCCTGTGGGTTTTCAGAGAGCAGGGGGCCGGAATCGTGGGCCCTCGACCCCGGGGGGCAGCACCCTCCCCGGAGTTGGGGGATGGGGAGAGCAGGGGTGTGCGGACGGTTAGACGTGGCGGCTTCTGGAGAGAACCGCACGCGGCCTTTACGGTGCAATTTTTCTGGTCGTGAAAGTTATGACACGAATGTGACTGTCGTGGTCGGCCCCGGGCGAGGTGTGCAGGGACCCGTCCCACGGTCTGTGGAGCACGCCGTGCGTGCGGTCGCGGGGAAGCCTGGTCGCAGCGGCTCCTTGAGACCGGTCGGCTTACTCGGGGGCACGACCGTGGCGTGAGGCCGCCGTGGACGTGGAAGGCGGGGTCCTCCCCCCACCGCCCCGGGTCTGTCGGCGGGTCCCTGCGTTCCGATTCTGTTGGCCTCCACCCCCGGAGGCGTGTGTGCCAGCCCCTCCTGAAAGCAGTGCATCTTCTACGTCGGTGCTCGGGGAAGGGCCTCCGCTCTCCAGCGGCCGGTGCCGTGCGCCCCTGAGCCCGGCAGCCCGCCCCGTCCTCTCTGCACCAGGGCGCTGCCCTCTGTGCCCTCTCGGGGGGCACACAGACGGCCTGCTGAGCGCACGCTGCCACAGCATCAACAAGAGAAGCGGCGTGAGGCCAAAATTGTGTTCTTGGTGGGAAGGGAATCGGGGGTGTCAGAAATCGAATGGTCTCAGGCTGCGTCAGGACCAAAGGGTGAGGTGCGCGCTCCGAATGAACGTTTCCCTGCCTCGCTGTGTTTTCACGGGGCCTCCTTTTTCGGGGGGCTTCTCCCCCCGACCCCCACCCACCCCCCGGCACTGGCAGGAGGTGGTCCCCGTGGGCTGGAGGCGTCGAGGGCCTGCAGGTGCCTCCCGCGGCCCGGCCCCGATTCTGCGGCGCCCAGGACAGCGCGCTCTGTCGAGTGAGCCCCCCGGCCGCCCCCAGGGCAGCGCTGAGGCCCGCGCACCCCAACAGCCTGGGGGAGACGGCCCCGCTCTGCAGGTCTGTGTGTTGGGGTCCCCGAGTGGTGAACCTTGGGACTTTGCTCTTACCGCTTTTGTGGCGTCTTGAAAGGCGACACTGTGACAGGGTGGGCCCTTGCTGGAAGCCTCATCATCGAGGACACAACTACCTTTAAAAGGACAAGTTAAAAGAGGCGCTTTAAAGAGAGTGGATACTCGCACCTACGACCTTAGTTATTCTCTCTTCAAAGAAATGAAAAAGTAACAGCTTTCTGTAAAAACAGGCCTACTCTTTGCTCAAAATCCGAAAACTCGTTTCCGCCCTTCAAACCCAGGAAGCCGCTCCATGTGTCAGGGGTGGGACCGGCCCGGCCCCGTCCTTGGGCCCTGCCCGCAGCTCGGTCGAGCTGTCTCTTTCCCACAGGCCTTTGCACTCGAGTGACGGACGTGCCTCGAGTGAGGAACATGAAGACGGGGGCCCTGCTCAGGCCAGCGCTGCCCACACCTGACCCAGTGTCACCGGGGGCGCCTGCCCTGTGCATCCCTGCCCCGACTCCATCTGGGTTCTAGAATCCTCTTCTGTCCTTCCCTGCGGCCCCCTCCCTGAGGAAGAAATGTAATTACCAGAAGGATGGCCACGTCCACAAGCCACAGGTGGGCTTCGCTTGTGGTTCAGTGGTTCGCGTGGCTCTTTCTACGTGGTATTTGTTGTCAGCCCGGCGTTGAAAAGGAAATGATGAGTCTGTAGCATAATTTTATAGAAATTTTTATTTATCGCTATTCGTAGCTTCAGGTTTTTTAAAAAGCTAAGGCTTCAAACTGCTTCCAATAGATGCCTGCCCCGGCCGCGGGCGTTGAACTTGCCTTTCCTGTTTGTGATTGACCCAATCAGCTGCAACACGGATAACGCAGGTGTTCTCTTCGAGGGTGAACTAGCACTCGCTGTGCACGGGTGTGCATTTTCGTTGTCGGCTGATTTCACCTTTTATAACAACAGTTTGAAGCAGGACCTGATGTTAGTCCATTTTAAAGATGGGGAAACGGAGGCTTGGGAAGGTTAACAGCTGGCCTGGTGGGCGCAGGGGTGTGAGGCGGGCTGGGCGGGAGTACGCACCACACCGCCCTTCCGCTTCTTGCGCGCTGCTCCCTCCCCGTGGCTCTTCCGTGGGGCGGGGCCCCTCCCGCCCCTGGACACGCTGCTCTCGGGTCGCGCGAGTGCGGTGCCCGTCCCAGGCTGACCCGTTACCTCTCACCAGGGGTCACTCGTGTTCGTACAGAAATGCCAGACCTAATTTTAGTCTCCCGTGGGCCGTGGACTCTAGGCCTGTTCTCTGCGTGTCTCGGCAGGAGCGTGGGCCTCCTCCCAGCGCGTGGTGGGTCAGCCCCCGGGTTCCCGTGGGTGACGTTTGTTCGGGACCGTCCTCGTGTCTGTGGTTGTCAGTTCGTGATGCTTTCGGGTGACCAGTTGTGAACGGAAGTCGTGCTTCCCTGGGGGAAGAATGAGCACCCCAGACCCCTGGCGGCCTCCACACCCCCACGGCACTCCCCACGGGTCCGGATACACGCAAGGTCTCAACCTTTTGTAGTTGACTCGTCATGGTCAGCCCTGCGGTCTGGTTGCCAGACGGGGCACCCCACACTCAGGGCAAGAAGTGTTCGCTGCGGGTGTTCTCGTGCCCATCGATAGCTTTGTGGCCTCGGGAACGGCATCGGCCCTGCTCGTCCATCAGCGGGACGCCCGTCCTCCAGGGAGGAGTCCCTGGCAGGGCCTGGGGGGGCGGTGGGCACCTGCGGGTGAGGGTCCCGTGAGGAAGTGGGGTGCAGAGTGTTTCTGTGTCGAGGGAGGCAGAGTCGTCACTCTGCGTCCTAAAGCAACACCTGTTTCGGGCCCCTGTCTCCCCAGGCGGCGGAGGGGAGAGGAGCAGCGGAGAAGCGGGGGTCCGTGCAGGTGGGGGGCAGAGACCCCCTCACGGGAGCAGACCCATCCTGCACAGAACAGCATGCTCCCTTAGACCTCAGGGAGCCACAGCCCCCGGGCCCCGTCCCACCGGGGCCCCGCCCCACCGGGGGCCCGTCCCACCGCCGGCCGCCTCCCTGCGGGTGTGGGTTTGGTCTCCACCCGCACGGCAGCTTCGCTGAGGGCTGTCCACGCCCGTGTCACCTGACGGACCCTGATCCACCAGGTGGGACTGGTAGCTCCCGGCCGGGGGCAGTGAGGAGGGCCCGGGCCGCTGTCTCCCACACTTCCGTCGCCATCATCTCCTGCGTCAAGGCGGTTTCTCTTGGCCTCTCAGGGTCCACGCAGGGCTCCCTGCAGCGTGCACGCACGTGGTGCTGACCAGCGGCCACTCTTTCTCCACGCAGGGTGTTCCCGAGAAGCCACACAGCGACTGAGTCTCAAAAGCCACTGAAGAAAAGCGCGATTTGGGAAGAAAACCTGTGACCTTGGATTGTGACAAAGATGATCTTTCTCCTCCGTGATCTGTTTAGATTGGGTGACTGTCCCCGTGACTCCCGGAAAAAGAAGTCCCCTGTTCCAGAGCGGCAAGCGAGGGGAACCGCCGATGTCCAAGCGGACCTGCGCCACACGCCCGTGCCTGCGTCCGCTCCGACGGGGCGGGGGTTCAGGCAGGCACGGCTTCCCGAGTATTCGATCTCATTTATGTTATTAAAAGCAAGTTGCCATATTTCAAAGCCTTGAACTAAAGCCTAATTACCAGCTCTTGGTTTCGTATCCGTGCCCACAAGGGATAGCTTGATGGTGCTTTAACAAAGGTGAAGTGTGGTCTGATAGGAACCGTATTTATCCAAGAGATTTTTTTTTTTAAATAGGGTTGTGTAAAAAGAGAAGCGGCCGGGAGGCCCGCTCCCGCGGTCGCGGCGCGGAGACCCTTCGCGCCCTCGTTCCCCCCGTGGAGCCCTGTGTAGACAATCTCACCGAGCGCAGAAGGCAGCGAAGGCCGCGGCTCTCCACTGTGACCTGCTGGAATTCTCACCTCCGTATTTGCGAAGTTTCATCCCAAATCCACAATCCTCTAAGAGGGAACGCCTGTCTGCCGTGTATTCTTAGCCAGAATTGTCTGTCGTTTCTTTAATCCTCCAGAGCAGAGATGACGATTTTTCCGCAGCCCTATGGAATTTGCAATCTGTGATTGCCTTGTAAAAAGAACCGTGCACATATCACCACGTTGAACATTTGGTGTTTCTAAATACTCAAAGATCTCGGTGAGCACAATGTATTCACTTAATGGCATAGACCATAGTAGACCCGCTTGGCGAGGGTTGGGTCTCACACTTCAAGTGCAATGTATCTGAAAACCAATCTGAGCCTTGTATTCTCTTAAATATTTATTTTCTTTTTTTTAACGTATGAGATGTTAAAGAGGGATTCTCCATTCATTTCAGTGCTGCATGGAGGCAAAATTCAGCAATAATTTCTTTCAGTTATGAAGTTACTCTGTTGTGCCCTCCACTGAGCCCTGGTCCTTTGAAATACTCCAGTTTTGTGGGTTTAGTAGACTTGTAATTTTTACTGACAAATTTACCTTTTTTGTATTTTGCAATTTAAATGTTTTTGTTTTAAATTTTTTGTGAAGCGATTTCATGAAGAAACTCCTTTTGACTAGACGCAGGCAGTCGGCGGGACGGGGGTCGGCGCCCCTGGCGCCTGTGGCCACGTGTGCTTGGCCTCGTCCGCGCGATGGGTTTGTGGTTCCTTTGTTCTGCGAAAAACGCCTTGGAGTAAATTTTAGGTGGCTGTGTAGCTGATTTGTTTTCAAGGAATTTTGTCTAAAAGAAAACGGGGTCATTCCGCACCTCGAAATGACCCCTGCGCGTTTTCTGAAAAACCAGAAGTTATTAGGTGAGAGCAGTAATTGAATCTTTAAAATATACTTGATCATGTACAAACAATAAGTATTTTTTTTCTCTTAAACTGGAAGTAAATCTCTGTTAGAAATAATGTAGCCAAAAAAATGTGAATCCGAAGAATTTTTTTGCCAATACTTTATAGCAAGTATATGAACCAAAGTGATTTGAGTTTGTAAAAATGTAAAATACTATGAACAAAATTTGCACTATCTGAGATATGGACATCTAGTGAGGTTCACATTCGCACTAAGTTTTCAGCGTTGTGTTCTTTTTCCATTCGTTTGTTACTTTTATTAAAGGTTCAAAACCAACCATCATATTTGTGAGTTTTTCTTTCAAGGCGAGGGGGGCTTCTCTGTAGGATGTTAGAAGGCGAAATGGAGAACTGTTGTATAGCTCTTCGAATTTGACTACGTTTCTGTACAGCCTCTTGGGAAAACCCCACTTGAGTGTATTTTCTGTCACGGTGGAAGGCGACGGGCCGTAGTGGCCGTGTTCACCCCCCCCCACCCCCACCCCGCCCCCGCCCCTTGCCCTCCTCCCTGACGCAGGGAAAGCCAGGCACCTGCTGTGCCTTCCTCTGCCCTCTCCCAGGAGCGCTGTGCACGGTCTTGGGGTGACAGGGCCCCTTCTCCCCATTCAGATGGGTGTCCAAGGGCCTCTGGGCTCGCAGCAGACAGAGCCCGGGAAGAAGGGGAACGTGCCGAGTGCCCACCAGCATGGCAGGCCTGTCCCTCCCCACAGAGACTCCAAATGCTGCCTGAGTCCAATTCTTGTGGCTCCAACGTGGGATCGGCCACACCGACCCCGTCCATACCTGTGTTTGAGGGGAGGTCCGGGGAGCGGGGTGCTTCCTGGACCATCTATCTGGTCAACAAGGGGGGAATCCTGTCGTCCCATTTCATTACGGGCCAGGCACCGAGTCACACAGAGTCCTCGTCCCCACTGTCGGAGGCCTGAGCAAGGCTGAGCGCGGGAACCCGGGACGGGCACGAAGGTGCTGTGTTTACTCAGCTGGTTTTCAGAGTCACCTGTAACCTCACGTAAAGAGTGTTTCTGGAGATTGAAGACCGGCACCCGACTCAAGTCGCCCAGTGTCCCGGCACTGCCCTGGCCTTGAATTCCAGGCACCCCCACCACCGTGCTGGTAAAAAGGGAAGGGGACCAACTTAAATCTAAACCTGTCTTTTCTCTTTCGTGTGTTAAGATAGACCTAACAACACTCGCTGTACGAGAGTTTCAGCTTTTGTCTTTATATTGTGAACTGTTAATACGGACGTTACAATTCGGCTCCAATATATATTATGCGCTAAGACTCTGGCCCGCTCCCCACGAAGCTACCGTCAGGCTTGCCCTTGAAAAGGAGGTGGGTTGATGCGCAATAAATTGGCCACGGGAGGGATTTCCTGTTGATCCCTGAGTACGGCCAAAATATGTAGAGAAAGACACATGAAACGTATCCAATCCCAACCCCTAATCCTGGTGCTCTGTGGATTTTCTTCATGAGATTCACGCCGGAGAGATTTACCCGAGCATTTCTAGAAACCCCTGCGAGTGCTGGGCATGAGGTCGGCTGGAAAGAACAAGTGGGCAGAGTGCTGCGGGGGTGGGGTCCTGCCGGACTCCTGATTTTGAAGACAAAATGGCCCACGTGACAAAGGGTATTTCTTTTTTTTTTTTTAATGTTTATTTTTGAGAGAGAGAGTGTGTGTGTGTGAGCGGGGGAGGGGCAGAGAGAGAGGGAGACACGGAATCCCAAGCAGGCTCCAGGCTCCGAGCTGTCAGCACAGAGCCCGACGCGGGGCTTGAATTCACGGACCGTGAGATCATGACCTGAGCCCAAGTCAGATGCTCAACCGACTGAGCCGCCCGGGCGCCCCGACAAGTGGTATTTCTTTACCATGTCCGTTTATTGGACACTGAATTTGGTGAAGTGTTTTGGCACCTGTTTTCCTAGTTCCCCACGGCGCCTTGTTCCTTCCGATGCACGTTCTCAAGTTCAGGAGCACGGGGAAGACACGCGCTCAGTCCACGCAAGGAGTCTTCTCGCTGTGTCTCTGAGAAGCCGTCTGTTTGCGATTGTGCGGTTTAGCGTTTTCATCCTTCAGACCTCGGCCAGCGTCGCCCTCTTCCCGCAGCACGTCCATCCCTGGAGCTCCTGGGGCCGCAGGGCCCTGTCCTCGCCAGCCGTGAGCCCGCCAGGGGGAGGCTGCCCCGCCGTCCTGTTCCGCGCCTGGCCTGGCCTCGGACACTCGGCCGGAGGAATGCCGAGTAAACGAATTCATTCATTCGCTCGGACCCCCGTCAGCCCACGCGCCGCCGTGCCCGGCCCTTCCCGCGTGGGCTCGCCAACCTGCCAACGCCATCCTGAACTCGCTAGGGTCTCGGTGGCACTTCCACGAGGGCTCCTCCGAGGCAAGCGGTCACGTCCGCGTGACGAAACGTTGGCTCGCTGCCCTGGGCCGCCGTGTTGCCACACGCCCCACGTCAGCGAGGGTGGTGGCACCGCGGGTGATTCTTCCCGGCACTGGGCCGGGCTGCGCTGGGCCGTCCACGCCGCCGGCCTCCGCCAGCCACAGCCGGCTGCACTGGCCGGATCGAATGCGGGGCAGCTGTGGCTGCTGACTGAAAGTCGTTAGAGCCCGGAGCCCCCCTTCCCTCCGCTAACCGCACCCCTGCCCGTCCCCCGTGCACACGGACACCCTTACGCCTGGCCTTTTCTGGGCTCCATGCTCTGAGCTTTGGCTCCCGGGAGGCCTGAGGCTGCCCTTCACGTCGTGCCTCGTTGGCCATCTGCCTGCTTTCGTGCCTGTCCTCGTTCTCCCACACGTGGGCCCGGTGCCCCCTGCCAGCCTGAGCAGCTGGCATCACTAGCCCCCGGGTTTCCCGTCAGTCACCTTTGTTGCAAAGACCCAACAAGGGCAGGGCAGGTGTGGGGCTAAGCTGGGAGAAAGCTCTCTGGGTGAGGAGAGCGGCTGTGCCCCTAATGAGCGGCTTCCTCCCTGACTCCTGGTTCCTGCAGCCGGCCTGGGGGGGGGGGGGTGGAGGGAGGGGTGCGAGCCCTGCTCAGACAGCCTGCTGGAATCAATAGCCCTCCACAAGTCCGGCCTGTCGGGCCGGTTCTGGGGTTTGCGTCCTCCCGCTCCATCACACGTCACTATCCGTCTCCCTCGGACGCCCCGCCAGCTGGCCGAGCCGTCTGGAAAAAGGTCAGCATGCCAACAAGTCACGGGAAAGATCATTTCAGAGTTTCACGCGTCCAAAGGAGGGAGAGTCTGCAGGTTATTTCCCATTATGGGGTCAGCAGCAAGCTTCCAGTCCTTTTAAAAATCTGGGCACACGGAGCAGCCCCGTCTGGGGGCTTCTCATAGATGAAATTGTTGCATCTTTTAAGAGGCACATACGGGAATTTGCAGGTGTACTGTTGGTCATTTAAAACCGTCAGGAATGACAGTGACGGTAGGTGTTTTCATAATAGTGAAAGAGGGAGGGAGGTTGTTAAACACCCAGGCACCTGACATTATGAGCCCGTCTTTAACGCAAAAAAGCCTCCCTTTTCCCAGCGCTTCAGAATGTGACCTTGTTTGGGAAGAGGATCCTTGCGGTCGTGAGCAAGGGAAGACAAGGTCACGAGGGTGGGCCCTGATCCAGCAGGACGGGCGTCCTTGCCCAAGGGGGGGAATCGTAGACGCAGAGCAGCAAACAGAGGATGGTCGGGGAAGCACGGAGAGGATGCCGCGTGCTGCCGGGCTCTGCAGCGATGTGTCCACACCCAGGGAGGCTGGGAGGCTGGGACACGTCCTGCCCCCATGCCTTCGGGGGGACGGCGGTCCCGTGACACGTTGGCCCAGACCCCAGAACCCGAGATTAAATCTGTTCGTGTCCTGTCTCCTACAACAACGTTGACTTTTCCGGAAGCACAGGAGACCTGCTGGTCTGCAAACTTACTTGCCCACTTCATCCAGACTTCTGGGCGTCTCCCAAGCTAGACCCAAAGTCCTTTTTTCTCCAGTACAAGTGTATTGAAATCTATTCCAAATCATCCGAGCCATCCTGAGGTAGGATATTCACGCTGTATTATAGATAGTTGGAAATGACAGTACGATTCACTTTTCGATTGCTGTCATTTGGAACGTGGAGACGCTTCATTTCCCAGGCAGTGGTGGAGAAATGGACGGAGAACCTGCAAAGCCAGTCCAGGGCTTGGGAGCCAGACTCTGAAAGACTGTACACGGTCAGCAAGGAAGAGTTTGCCGGCCTGTGTGGACGTGAGTGGCTCAGATTAAAGTTAGCGCTAACCAGGTAGCGTGTCAACGGCCAGTGTCAGATTGTCCCGCTGAGATCCGTCAGTCTCCTCTCTGCGGCTGGCCCTGAGGACGACAGACTCCGGAAAACAAAACAGTGAAAGCTCAGGCCCAGGCCCTTCTCCCCCGCCCCCCGGGGAACCTCACCCCAGGCCCAGCCCCGGCTCCGCTCGGCAGCCAGATCCCTGCCCTTCCCAGGGGCCCGGAGACGCAGGGCCCGTGGGAAGACCTGGCTGGAATTATCTTCTGTTACTGGGAATGCAGTCACACTGGAGGCGGGAATGTCTTAGGAACCATCCACATCTGCCCCTCCGCTGCACAGGTGAGGGGCTGGAAGCCCGAGGGGACACCAAACCTGCCGTGTCCGAGCGTGGCCTCTCCCAGCTCCTCCGTCCAGCCCCAGCTCTTCCTCCCACTGGTGCATCCCAGTGCTGACCTCTGGGCCGGGCACTGCTCCTATGAGCAGCCGCCGGTGTGGCCAAGCAAGCAGGGACTGCTGTCCCCCGGGCTCCCCGTCGCCCTCCTTCCCCTGCACTGGGGCACTCTGTCGTAATAGCGATGGGGTGTGGGTTATGCTTGTTGGGCTCCCGTTGTGAGCACTGTGTGCCCTAATTCACATCACCGGGCTTCCCCCAAGTAGCCTGTGCCCTCCTGGAACAGAGCCCTGCCCCTCTCCCTAGCCACGTCCCCCACCCCAGGAGCTGAAGCTCTGACCTTGACCTTACTGATGGCAGAAACGTGATTACGGGGAGGCTCATGCCTTTCTCACCACCCTCCTGGCTCTGAGGATTTCTCCTGGAGCTTCCTGGTGCTATGAGCCTGAGCCCATCCCATGGCACAGACCCGTGAGTTCTGCTCCCTCTTCCCGAGGGCCACCCTGTCCCACAGGCTTTGCTCTGCTGTGCCCAGCTGACGTCACTCTGCCCTCTCCTGCAGTGGAGATGAGGAAAGGCAGACCAGGATATTGGCTCTAAGACCAGGTTCAAGTCCAGGGCTGCACCCCTTCCT